TGACAATAAAAGTGCATATAACATATCCTCATGCACATCCTTCTGAAAAATACATCACACAAAAACAAATATTGTTGCCTCATTGTCAGTATTGGTAGACTTGTCAACCTGGATTGCATATGTTGGTGACTTGTTAATCCTGACAATTGTTCATCGACATCCTCTGCTACTTCATCAGTTAAACTAGTTACGGTGCTAGCTGAAAGAGGAACACATGCCGTCTTTTGAACTGTTGAATCGCAGCCTCTCCTAAAAGATCATGACAGATGTCCTTAGCAGCAGGCAGGATCAATAAGGGCTTCTTAGCTTTAGCAATGAAGTTAGCCACTAAGAATGATGCTCTCAGTGCAGACACATTTCATGAAGTGGTAGTCTTCAGCAATTTCTTCTGTTCAGTAGGTTTACTTTTTTTTTTTTTTTCTTTTGGAAAACTCTAAAGCCGTGTCTTTTAATGCAGGGTGCTTGGTCACCATGTGGCAAAGCAGTTTTGAAGGTTTTCATGGCCTCCTTGGATAGCCGATCTCCACACATTGTAAGAGTGGTCTTGGAGAATGTGAACCACCACTTGCAATGAACCTGTAATTTAAGTGGGACTCTTGATATTCTCTTTAGCTGCAGCTTTCTTTTTGTTGGCATTCTTGAGGTCTTCTGCTGTCTCATCATTGGGTCTTTCCACTTTTCAAAGAAGTTCTCCAATGACATTTATTTTTTACTCATTTTGGCTAGGCCTAGCTTGTGGGCTTACCAAAACTGTCACTGAAACAAGTGTGCAGTACGGGGAATAGGCATGGATAAATGCATTAAATAAAAGCATGGATGTGCTGTATGTGGACTAAAATAAGTGGCAGATTTTCACTTAAAACCTGCCACCAGATGCAGCAGCCCAGCTGAAGAAAATCAACTTACTTGTCACTATAAAGCCTGCCACCAGATTCAGCTTGTCACTTGCCACTCACTGATAGGGTTTTGATATGCATCTGCAAGCGATTGATTTATTATGACCTCTGTGTAGTCAAACCTCTTTGCTAATGTTAATCTGTATTTGCAGCTGCTCCCCAGTGCTAGCATCACCACCCCAGATCGTCAGGCATTAGATTCTCAAAGGGAGCGTGCAACCTAGATCCCTCAAAGGCACAGTTCACAGCTGAAGCTCCTGGGAGAATTTAATGCTGCTGCTGATCTGACGGGAGGAGGAGCTCAGGTGGTGATGTGAATGATGGGGAACTGCTGTAAATACAGATGACGCTTCCTTTGCTAGCCTGCCTCTGCTCATCGGCTGTGCAATCCACAGCTGGTTGGGGAACCCAGACTTACAGAGTTTCTTGGTTATGGAGCAGTGGAAGTGGATGGTTAGTAAAAAAAATAAACAGACGGACAGGTGCTGTGGCTTACGCCAGTATTCCCAGCACTTTGGGAGGCTTAGGAGGGTGGACCATGAGGTCAAGAGATCCAGGCCATCCTGGCCAACGTGGTGAATCCGTGTCTACTAAAAATACCAAAATTAGCTGGGTGTAGTGGTGTGCACCTATAGTCCCAGGTACTCAGAAGGCTGAGGCAGGAGAATCGCTTGAACCTGGGGGGCGGAGTTTGCAGTGAGCTGAGATTGAACCACTGCACTCCAGCCTGGTGACAGAAGAAGAATATATAAATAAGTAAAATTGTTAAATAATTGTAAATTATAATAACATGAGGAAAGTAAAATGCGAGACAGTGCTACTTTAGAGAGGATTGTCAAGCAAGGTGTTTCTGAGAATATAATATTTGAGTCAAAAACCAAAGAATGAGGAAGATCCAGCTCTCCAAAGCCAGGAGGAAGGCATTGCGGAGAGACAAAAGAACAAGTTCCTAGTACAGAGCATGGGAACAGCCAGGGGTGTTGGAGAAATGAGCTAGTGTGATCAGGGAGGAGAGAGTGGGACCAGCAACATGGAGCCAGGGACCAGGGCAAGAACTCACAGGGTGTTAAGATCCATGAAGAGTGATGGTTTTACTCTACAGGCAGTGGAAAGCCAGGAGAGTTCCACGATTTTATTTCCATGTGTAATAGCTTAGGTTGCTAGGTAGAGAACAGACTTAGGGATAGATACAGAGTAGAAGACTAGTTACCAAGTCCAGCTTTATCATGCGTCTGCCTAATAATTCATGATCTCACCCACCAGCAACTTTAACCAATCAGTCTCTTAAATTCAATTTAGGCTGTTTCAAAAAGGGAATATTGTTTATTGGTTTGCTTTTGTGGGTCACATGGCCCATCTATTATTGTGATATTAATACAAATGGACTTGTGAAAACAATTTTTTCCTAAAGTTTTGGTTTTTAAACTATCCGTGCTATCACTGTTAATACAAAGACAAAAATAAATTTTCAGTTCCTAGAACTGACATTTCTCTCAACATTGTCTGGCATGAGTCATAAAAATGACAAATGTTAGCCTTCAAACTAGAAAACAGAATATCAACTACATTCCACAAAAATTGTAGAAAACGGCACATAGGGCTGAAACATTCTAATCAAAAAGGAGATAATGAGTATTAATTATAAGTATAATTAAGCATTATTCTTAGTAGTAAGACGGATACAATGAATAACAAAAAGTCTAGATAAAAAGTCATCAAAGTTGATGGAAAAATAAGGAAGATATGGGGTACCTTCATCAATACCAGTGAAACGGCTTGATGAGAACAACCAATTTCAGCAATGCTATACAAAACATAGCTTTAATTACAAAATAGGTGTTAAATACATATGTATTGAAATAATAACTACATATCTATTGATTTAGATGAAGAAATAAATTACTAATAGGAGATATCTTGATCCAAATGGTCTATGATGTCTCCATATTTTAAGTAGAAATTGCTTTCACTTTTTTTCCCTTTTTTCTAAAAATATTTTTTAAATCGATTTTTTAAAACAGATTTTTTTATAATCGATTTTTCAAAACAGCTTTGCAAAGGAACCTGTTTCTTGTTTCAAAATGTATTAGCCATTTTAAATAGTGTCTATAATAAAATAAATCTAAATAGTTCATATGATCAGATTGTAGCATGGCCAATCCAAGCCTCTCAGTTTCAACAGATCAGTTCATGTAACTGTTTGACAAAACAGGAAAAAACAAGACCAACAACAAATTCTTTAATGAAGATAACCAAACTAACAATCAGCCTGTAGTTACAGGTTTTGCATCTCCAGGCACACAGACATAGAAAGAAACGCACTTAGATACACACATACATACCAGCACCCGTGGTCTTACTATCCATAATTAATCTCTTCCAGGAAGATGCTACTTTTTATATTGTAGTCCTGAGTTGTTGTTGCACAGCGTCTCATAAAATATTTCTAACTCTAAAAGACTTTAACTTACAGATGGTACCATGATAGTGAGAACAAATTACATTTCCCAATCATCTTTTAAATTGTATGCCAAGTTCCTTTAACATACAGTCATTGATGCCTTCACCCGCTCATAAGTCAAAGAAAGCTCAACTCAGGGTGACAAAGGCTACAAGTATATGTATTATTTGAAAAAGCAAAAAGCCCAATTTCAGGTAGACAGAAGGAATACGTTCAAGAAGTCACCATGATAGCTGTAGTTAGTAACAATATGTTCTATAATATACTTGAAAATTGCCAGAGTGTAGATTTTAAGTGTTCTTACTATGCAAGAAAATGATGGTAACATGAATTAAGACATGTGTATTAGCATGATTTAGCCATTCGACAATATACACATGTATCAAAACATCACATACCAAAACATCACATTGTACACTATAAATGTAAACAATTTTTACTTGTCAAATGGAAAAAAAGGATAAATCTTGGAGAAATACAACTCCAGAATAAGTTACTCCATAAGTATATGCAATGACTATGTATTTATTATGTAATAATTATATGTACGTAATATATACTTATGTAATCATCAAAATTTTAAATTTTTAAAAAAATAGGAATATATGTATATCAAATAAGATAATACAGTGTCTCAGTGACATCATTAATGACTTGTGGGTCTCCACCTTTCCATTCTGCTCATCATCACAGTTAGCATTTTCAACATTGTAAGTTGGCTACTTCATGATTTCACAATGTCTCGTACAAGCATGACTGCAATGTAAGCCAGAAAAAGTGGTATACACCTTGTCTGTGTTACAAGGAAGACTTTCTCAGAAACTCTCTAAAAGACTCATCTTTGTATTTCACTGGCTGCATACCTACCTCAAAATCAATTCCGGAAATGAGAATGAGATCCCCAATTTGCCTTTTAATCATTAGAAAACATCTGAGACTCATGATACAGCAGGCTTCCCCAGAAATACACAAATAAGCAGAGGACAGGTGGCTGAGCCTGGGCTTGACTAGGAGGAAGATGGGAAGAGTGGGTGTTGAGTCGACAAACTAGAATACTGAGGAATGCTTTGAAAGCTAGCATAGTATGAAATGCTGCAGATAAAGATTTGATGAAAACAGGATTGTTCAGCCAAAAAAGAGGAGTTCTAGATTTTACATCTTAATTTGTGCTTCAAATATTCTGGTTAAAAATTTTGTTACAACACGTTACAGAATATTTTGAATCAGCAAAGAGGATAGTATCTAGAAGACAGGGAAATTGCCCCAAACCTTGAATTACCTGTGGATACATTTTGCGAAAACGTCTATTCTGTGGTTATGGAGAACAGATAACATAATTAATTTAATTATTCTACCTTTGGAGTTATAGGTAATGAGTAAGCTTTTTTATTTGATAATTAGATGCAAACATGGCATTAGAAACTTCTTTAAATAGTGTTTTTTTTGTATTGAGAAAAACCTTCTAGTAATACTAAATTAACATTTCAGTCCCAACGTCATTATACACTTTTTATTTCACCATTTACTCTCCCCTAATGTGCTTTTTAAGGCAGATTTCTGGATAATTTAATGATATGTAACTCAAAACCACTGTAAGTAACAAATGTGGAATGGGACTAATTGTCTTTTTCTCAATTTTTAAGATCCTGACTTTAAGGACCTTGGAGCTTTGAAACCATTACCAGGTTGGTAAAATAGATATTTAATACTGTTCTGAAGACTTTGTTTTCTGCTATGAAATACACTTTTGGTTTATTATTCAAGCTCCATTTTTGTGTGTTTATTTGGCATTTTGTTATTTAGTGTGTGAGTTTGAGATGGGCGGTCCCGAAGGAATTGTGGAGTCTGTACAGATTATGAAGGAAGGCAAAGCCACGGCCAGCGAGGCTGTTGATTGCAAGTGGTACATCCGAGCACCTCCACGGTCCAAGGTCAGTCTTAAGATGAAAAGGACACTTGACAGCTGACATGAGAAGCGTCTATAACGTGCATTGCTTTGAAGCAACTGGACATGTCTAATCCATTTCAGAGTGCAGTCATCATAGGCTATGATTTCATTTTGGTTTTTGAGATGTAACTTGTCTTCCCTTGTCCAATCTAAATTTGATGTCATAAATAGCAATCTAGAGAGTGTGTTGAAGAAATCATGTGAAAACCTAGACATGAGACTTTAAGGTAAGTTGACCTCTCTGAAATATGGATTGAAGTGGTATGTGAGAAACATGGCTCTAAGTATAATTACACTTATGCTCTGATTGTCAATATCTGTACTTGGTTTATTTTGTAAACAAAATTATATCTGTAGAAGAAGTTGCCTGGGGCCTACAAAGTTATGAATATCTGGTATGTAAAATACAAATGCAGCAAGGGCTGATAGCAATGGTAAGACGGCCAGGGAGATCCTGTGACGACTTGAAGGACACAGGCATGACTTAGCTACCCATGAAGCTCCTTGGGATTGCTGCTATGAGAAAATGTGGGTCCAGCATTATCAAGTCCTCCATTATTTCTCATAACTTTCCAAAAATCTAGATTTTATGTTGAGCACCCTGATTTTTGAGGGTTGGTTTTAATTACAAAAATTAAAAGTATTGGTGGGGCATGGTGGCTCATTCCTGTAATTCCAGCACTTTGAGAGGCCAAGGCAGGTAGATCATGAAGTCAGGAGATCAAGACCATCCTGACCAACATGGTGAACCCCTGTCTCTACTAAAAATACAAAAATTTGCTGAGTATGGTGGCGCACGCCTGTAGTTTTAGCTAGTCAAGAGGCTGAGGCAGGAGAATCGCTTGAACCCAGGAGGTGGAGGTTGCAGTGAGCCAACATTGTGTCATTCCACTCCAGCCTGGTGACAGAGTGAGACTGTCTCACAAAATAAAATAAAATAAAATAAAATATTACATGTATTAAACTAAATCTATTGTGGGCTAGATTTGGACTCAGGCCCCCATTTTGGAAACACTTCTATAGAACAACTATGTTGATCCTGTTTATGGAAATATTTTTCACAATGCAGAGGATGAGTCATTTTGTGCTAGCAGGTGTCATAGGTCTAAGGTGTTATTTGTTCATTCTCCTGTTTTCATTTTTATTCCTCAGTTACAAACTTATAGACAAAACAATGGACTTACTAGATTTGTAGTCATCTATTTATTGGGGTTGAAACAGTGAATTATTAATTTAATTGGTTTTGTGACTCCATAATAAAGTCTCAAGCACTCTGCCAGAGACATGGAAAAGCATGCCAGGCCCTGTGCTCAGATGTTTCAGTTTAGTTCTCAGACAAATATGTAACAGAATAATTTAAGCAGTAAGGTTAGATACAACAGAGAGAGAGAAAAGACCCCTTATACAAGATAGGGTAAGTCAAAGGTAGAAGGGTACAGCTGTCAGGGTCCTGGTGAATCTTAATAAGAAGTGTTGTGCCAGGTAGACAAGGTGAGAAGGCGCTCCAGGCAGAGGGAATAACGTCTATAAAGTCATGGAATCACAAGAGAGAAGAGAGTAAGTTTTTTCAGGAATTAATATAATTGCACGTGACCAAATGAAAGCATGGATAGGGAGGTGGTGTCGATTCCTTAACCTAAAGTGTTCTCTAAGCCTCTTTAAAGAACTCAGACTTCATTCTGAGTGCTTTTGTGATATATGGAAAAACAAAGCAGAAAAGTGATATGAACAGGTTTGCATTTTAGGAACATTGCTTTTTCCTGCAAAGAAGCGACTGAGGAGTGAACACTGCAAGGAGAAGAGCAAGTGGGAAGCTGTGGCTGTAATCCCAGTGTTGGAAACTAGGCCATGGTGAGCAAACATGAGGGAAATACTAGAGAGAGAGAGGATCAAATTTGGTGACTGGATATTTAGGCCGAGGGAAAAAGAAGAGCCACTTTTTTTTTCTTTTTAGAGACAGAGTCTCATTCTTTCTCCCAGGTTGTAGTGCAGTGGCGCAGTCTTGGCTCACTGCAACTTCTGCCTCCCGGGTTCAAGCAATTCTCCAGCCTCAGGAATTACAGGTGTCTGCCACCATACCTGGCTAATTTTTTTTTTTTTCATACTTTTAGTAGAGACAGCGTTTTGCCATCTTGGCCAGGCTAGTCTCGAACTCCTATCTCAGGTGGTCTGCGGTCTGCCCTCTTCGGCCTCTCAGAGTGCTAGGATTGCAGGCATGATTCATCACTCCCAGTGAAGAGCTATTTTTGAGGGCACTGGTCTTTCTTCACTTGATTTTTCCTTGAATATGTCTCCAGAGTTTGCATATGAAATGGAAATGTGGCACCTTTCCCCCAACTTTCAGTTACAGAGATTCAGAGATCATGCTCGAGCTTCCAGCCTTGTTGCTTGCGTTTCTCTTTGCCTCTGAACAAATCTTAGAGAAAGTTAATTGCATTATGAAGAAAGACAGTTATTTTTCTTTTTTTTTAAGTGAAAATCGATTGCTCACACAAAACCGTAAAAATCCACTACGTGTATAACAAGAGAGCTAGATTGAAGTTTATTTTGCTGTTTTCATAAAACGTGGATTCACATGCAAGGGCTATTTATTTTTCTTAAACTCTACAAATGAAAGATTTTTAAAGACATTTTAAAAAATAGAGTGATATGTGCCACACCTTACTGTCATAACTGGTACTTTTGTCACTACAATCTTAAAGAGAAGGGTTTCATGATAGTGTAAATGCACACCCTTTTCTTCCAGCTGGTAAATAGACTGTCTTTTGTACAATCTCAGAGCAACAATAAACAATGTACCTGTCTGTTATAGAATTTGGCATTCTGTGACCCAAAGGGGAAGCTGCCTGCAGAGCTGGACAAAGATGGCTCTATTGTAACAGGCTTTCTCTGTTAAATTAAAGGTTAGGGGATAGGAAGTGGCTTTGAATACTGTGGAGAAAAGCAAGAACTGGAGATTACTGCCTATGTGGACTTTCTATTTTTACAGAGTTCCTAGCAGCTTATGAGAATAGACTATCAAAGCGCAAGTTATACTTGAAATAGCTTGGGGTGAACATTTGAATGACACCTGCTGACTAAACCATATTGCACAAGGAAAGTGCTGAATAGTTTACGAGGGCTCTATTAACATGTATACACATTATTTACTACTTTTCAGGCTTTTGACAAACAGAAAATATAATATCCGATGTCTCCTTTATTAAAGGATATTAATCTAGATGGTCCCCTTTAATTAGAATGTGATTAATCCAGATTTTTTAGAATTTGGAAAACCAGAGGCAGAAACAACCTTGTTACTGACTAGATCATTTAAAAGATGAATAAACTGAGTCAGGATAATGAAATTCAATATGAGTTAACAAGGAAATGTAGATATATGCCTCTCTGAGCAAATATTATGAGGTCTAATTCAGATTCTGGTCTGGAAAACAGCCATCAGAATGAAATGATGGGAGACAGAATCATGGTAACTATTAATTTCACGAAGGTTGGACCAGATTTATCTCCAGATATCCAGTGCCAAGCACAATGTCTGTTAATCAATTAAAATTCATAGAATAAATAGATTATTTCTAAAAGAAAGGAGGCGGTAGCAATCTTCAAACATTTGAGGAACTGTCACATGAAACAGGAATAACAATCTGCAGGAGTAAGGCCTTTAAGTACTGCAGTTTATTTGAACATTTGAAACTGGAGAAACAGCTTTTAATGTAACACAGAGAAAAGCCTTTTATTTTAATGACAAAGATTGAATGAGATTTTACAGGGGGAATCCAAGCAAAGTCTGGCAGAGATTTTGTATAACAGTTAAAAGTCAAGTAATATTTTGGCACAAATAACATGAAAGTCCTCTGAAAACCAAAATTTAATGAATCTATGATAAGTGACTTGCCCACAAGCTTGGCTATTTAGCAGCAGATCTTGAGCAAGATTAGCATCTCCCAATTCCTGGTCCCGTTTGCTCTCACAAAACCACATTCTTTGAGGAAATGATCACAGTTTTTTAAAATTAATTTTAAAATCTTTAAAAATTTTATTTAAATTGACCAATAGTACTTGTTTATGTTTATCAAGTACAGCATGATGTTTCCATTATGGAATGACTAAATCAAGCTAATTAACAAATGTCACTTCATATTTTTATTATTTACTAGGACAGGATAAGGGACAGAGTCAAAAGATGTATGAAAATACATAAATGAAGGTAATTCAATGTTGAATGTTTTGGGATAATAAAACTCTAGCTTCTACTGTTTGCCCATCATTTCATGCTTAAAGTTGGCTCTTAATTTGTTGTTAACTAATTCAAAAATATTTTTGTTCAAATTAAAATAAAAATATAAAAATTTGACAAAAATAAGTCTTTTATAGTAAAGTTGTGATAAAAGTGTTGAAGTTATTTATATGATAAACATAAGTTTTCAGCTACAATTCTTGGGATTGTGAATATGATAAATTTGCCTATGTGATTAAGTTTACCAGTCAGGTGACTTTGAATTAATAAAAAGATAGATTATCCAGGTCATCCTAATAAAATCACACGAGCCCTTTAAAAGCAGAGCAGATTCTTTGGATGTGAATGAAAAGGGGAAGTAAGAGAATCAGGGGACTAAGAAATGTGTTCTGGGAGTGAGGGTGACCCCAGTAAGCAGTCTTCCAGAAAATGGAGACCTTTGTCCTAGAACTGTGGGAAACTGGATTTTTAGCCTCATCTGCCCTCACCAAAGAACCCACTACTTTCACCGTACAAGACTATTAATAGTAGATGGTAATCGGGTGTTATTTAAAGCTGCTAAAATTGCGGTGATTTGTATGGAACAATAGAATATTAAAGCAATAAACCAAGTGTAATAACTTTAATTGACTACAAAGATAAGCATTAAGGTGTCTGAAGATTGAGTCTGCTTTTATCTCCAAAAAGTAAGAATAAAATTTGGAACACAAAGGAAAAATTTTAAATAGCTAACTACCAAAAAATTG